TTAATAACACCCACTTTGAATCAAACAAGAAATCTTCAAAATAAAATTTTTATATTCAAGAGCTTCAAGCCCGACAATAGTGAATATTCAAATACCCATAAACATTCAGATCTGGGAAGCTTTCTCGAAGGTACTATAAGCAATATACACCCACTTCATCTAATATTAAAATCTTCAAGTTGAAAAACATATATTTGGAATTTTGGAAGAAGACTTTAAGAAAAATCTGTAAAATTTTAATTTCAGCAAAAACTACGAAGTGCAAAATCCGAGCAAGCATGAGATTTTGACAAAAAAGTGATGAGATTACATGAAAAAAAGGGGTCAACTAGATTTCATAGTTTATTTAAAGAGAAAGCTCCAGGAATTTGCACTTCAAAGGGTAAAGGGAATGTTTTCCACTTGATTAAGCTAGCACTGAGAAAACAAATCAAAAGGCAAAAGGGAATGGGTAGGTGGTAAAATATTTCGGCCGAAAAGGTAGGTTTTGTAAAAAGCTTTCATATGGGTAATTACGGGTAATTATTTTGGATTGTGTGTGTATTTAGTATAGATTTCTCAAAAAAAAAAAAGGAGAAATTGTAATAGACGAGATTAACCCGCATTTATGGATATCTCTTTTAAAATGAATTTGTGAATTATCTTTTGATATTTTTGTGCTCTCTTTGTTATTTAAATTGTGTATTGTTCATCTTTTTTTATGTCGAGGGCCTACTTTGCCTCGTTCCACATATCATTGAGATTGCTATTCTTGCTAATTAATAGTAAAATTGCACGGGGCGTCCTATTTGGTCGCCCCCATTTAACCTATACCCATTTTTTTTAAACTTTTAACTTGTACCCACTTTTTAAACAACTTCAATCCCCTTTCTCCTCCTCCTTCTTCTCCTTCGTTTTCTTCTTCTTCTTATTTCCTTTTACGTTCAGTTTCGTCTGTTGGATATTTGTTGTCATTTTATTTTTTTCCCTCTCTTTTGCTTTCTTTCTTTCACAAAATTTTCAACCAGTAGCAATGTTATCGTCTAATCAGAATATTTAATGTATTCGTAACCATAGTTCACTACTGGAAGATTCTGTCCAATCTGAAATATCAAATACTTAACGAGACAACTGACACCACATAAATGCAGAATAACTCTGCTCGGATGCTAACTTGTTTCATTATATTCTATTTTCATGTGTGAGACAAGAGCAAATCAGAAAAACTTCAGCTCTAGAGCTGAAGTTCGCCAGTTACAAAAACAAAAACTTCAGCTCTAGAGTTGAAGTTCGCCAGTTACAAAATAAAAACTCCAGCTCTAGAGCTGAAGTTCGCCAGTTACAAAAACAAAAATTTCAGCTCTAGAGCTGAAGTTCACCAGTTACAAAAATATAAACTTCAGCAATGCTGAAGTTTTGCGTGATTGTCTTTGCTACTTCAGACCCGTATGCTGAAGTTATGCGAAAAAGCGGGTACGCTTGCAATTTTTTTTGCAAAGCGGGCACAAGTTAAAACGTGACACAACAAGCGGGTGTAGATGCAAATCCCCCTAATTAACTCTAAGCGTCTGTTTGGTTGGGATTTGAGAAGATTTAGAGCCCGTTTGGACATACAAAATTTTTCCTTTTTCTCAAATTTTTTTTTTGAAAACAATGTTTGGTTATCCCATTCTTACCAATTTTTCTTTTTTCACTTGAAAATCCATTTTCAAATTTGCAAAACTGGTTCTCACCACTTTTTCAATTGAAAATGGGAATCTGCTAGTTTTTAGTTTTACCAATTTACCCTATATTTTTAAAATTTATAAAATGACCCCATCAGTTTTTCATCTTTGGAAGATACATCTTTGGCGACTGATGGTGGAACATCAGTCCTAGTTGATTTTGCATCTTCTGTGTATTGCAATAAAGCAGAATATGATAATATTTAAACAATAGCATTTTGATTGTTTATTTCAAGCAGGATAATCGAATTGGAGTGATTTTGATATTTTTACAAGTTGTGGGGTATAAATCATGTTTCATGATTTTGAAAAAAAAGACATCCAAATGTATTGCAAAAATTATAACCAAACACAACTTCATCTTCAATTCAAATTTTAATGTAATTCCAAATTTGAAAAAAAAGTTTGGAATTCATGTCCAAACGCCTACTTAATCTCCACACAAAAAAAGTTCATTAATTTATAGTACTAACATTTGGTTGCTTATTTGTTTTCCTCATAAATAATGTATATTATGCAAAAATTAATGTATTATTTTATGCAGGATAGAACGTGAATTAAGAATGTGGTAGTACTACATGAATTAAAAATACTAAAATGACAAAACTAACTCTCATAATTATACGCAAGATTTTACTTTGTTTACAAAGTAAACATGTATTTAATTAAATCATATATTGTATACTGTAATTTATAATTTGTTAAATCAAAAATTCAACAAAAAATGGTTGAAGAGAATGAGAAAGGAGACATGGTCTTCAATGGATTTTTTTAGCTAAATAAAGAGAATTTCAACATAGAGATTCCATTCGAAAAATGGTTGAGGTGCCTAAACTTTAGCTTCAAACTTAAGGTCAGTGTTAATCATATTATTTTTAATAACAGTATAAAGTTAACATGTGTAACAAAATATAGTAGGACTCGTCCATTTCTAACCTTGTTTTTACATCCATTTCTAACTTTGTCTTTTTAATATTTAATTCTTTTTGTTATTTGTGAAAGACATCAAAGAGTAAGATTTATCCATCATTTGTGAAATATAATACGGAGTAATTAACATAGAGAAGTACAACGAAGATAATATTCCTCTAGAAACTATGCTTGTGTTGTACTATATATATCAGAGCACCAAATCTTTCATAATCACTTATGGATTAATGAAAACATTAATATATGTCGTGTTTAATGTTCGATAACGAAAAGGCCAAAGAATAAGTTGCAGTAGCTTGCTAATGGTGCAGCGGCAAATATGTTTTCTTCTTTTTTTCCTTTTTTCCTTTTTTTGTCTTTTTTTTTTGGGGGGGGTGGGTGGGGAGGGGGGACTAATCCGTATTCACGCTACGTAAAGCACATTAGTCATTAAAAAGTAGAAGCGCTTCCTACTAGCATTGTCTCATTTCCTGGTCAAATTCAAGACCTTTGGTTTAAAAATTGAGAGATCTTATCTATCTCACCACAACTCTCGATGGTGCACCGACAATTTGTCATGTTGGTTGTTTTCTGAACATTTTGATTTGTGATAATACAGTAAGAATTTTTTTTTTGTTACATTAATCAGCTATTTTAATAACAAACTAACTAATTAAACTATATATTCAATGTCAAAAGCGATACAAGAGAAATGTTTAACTTATGTCCTCTTGAAAGGATCCTTTAGCCTGCAACATCAGTCTAGGCATACAAATTGCATTAATCAACATAGACATCACCATCAAACATATAGTGCTCTTCAATTTTTTGTGATAATTGTGAAATAATATGAGTATTCAATTCAAAACCATAAGATTTACACCAAAAAAAAAAAAAAACATAAGATAATGAGTGGAGCAGCGCATGACAATATAATAAGCCCCTTTGAAATCTCTTACACAACTAAGAAAAAAAAATATTGTAACGCTTGACAATATAACAAACCCCTTTGAAATCTCTTATACAACCAATGAGGAACAAGCGGAGTAGAGAGACTAGGCTCAATAGGATAATAAATGGATATGGAGCAAGTGTCGGGAATAAACCCTCCACAGAAATAATATTTACGATAATAACAGCGGAATAATAATATAGTGACGAGATACGGTAATCTACAAGAATAAAAAGAGCAACAAGGACATAAAGATTTTTAATGTGAAAAACCCTTCTGAATAAGGGAAAATCACGAGCCCGAGAGGAGCAAAATAATCCACTATAATGAAGAACTTTACATTCTGTAGTCCCGAGTAATTACTACAGGAACCACTATACAGTCAAAAGAAATAACCCTCTTTTGAGATTCCCACCTCACTACAATATCGCTCACTCTCTATTTTTCCTCATAGACTACACCGCCTGTGAATACCTCACACTGCTCTCTATGCTCTCAAATATATTTCTCTCTGAGATTGGTGTGTAGAAATGAGAGCCGAAGCTCTCCATTTATAGTGTTGAGCGCCCAATCTTCCAACAATCAAAATGATTGGTTATTGCAATTTGCAATTGCAATAACCAACTATTTTTGACAATTTGCAGATTTGCAAATTAAATCCAAAATAAGTCATAATGGAATCTAACACTTTTCCTTCCTTTTTGTTTTTTTATTTATACGGATGAACCCCACAAATCTCCCCATCCAGAACCATTCACCTGAAGGAGGTAACTCCAGACTTCTAGCTTGAGTGCATGCCGACAAATTCTTTGCTCTATTCGAACTTGTCTCTTTGTACAACCTTGGTAAGCATATCTACGAGATTCTCACTTGTAGAAATCTTTAAGACTTTTAGAGATTCATTTTCTACCATTTCTCGAATCCGGTGTTATCTCACGTCAATATGTTTGGTCCTTGCATGGTACATGGAGTTCTTGCTAAGGTCTATTGCACTTCGACTGTCATAATAGACGACATACTCCTTCTGATGCAATCCAAGCTCTTGAAGGAACCGTTTCAACCATATCATCTCCTTGCTAGCTTCAGTAGCGGCAATATACTCCACTTCAGTTGTAGAGAGTGCAACACACTTCTACAACCTCAACTGCCATGATATAGCTCCCCCAAAAATGTAGACAAATTCATGCTCTAACAATAATGGCTATCATAGGCATGTTATTGATATCCATGTACTATTAATTAGTGAAACTAGAACTAGAGAATTACTAAGATTTCTAGAATGATTCCTTCTTCTAGCATTTATGTACATGACAAAGTTAAAAGATGCTAGGCATCTGTTATGTCACTCAACAACTATCTTTATAAGCTCTTTGCATTATTCATCTTTCTTCCTACATCAAAACACACTCAACTTTCATAAGTCAAATATGATCAATATGGAAGTTAAACTCATTTCAACAGAAATGATCCAACCTTCATCTCCAACACCAAATCATCTCAGAAACTTTAATCTTTGTCTCTTGGATCAGCTCATTCCAGCTCCCTATGCACCTATTTTACTCTTCTATCCCAATCTTGACGATATTAAAGTCCACGAAAAATCAGCATTGTTAAAGAAATCACTAGTTGATACGTTGTCTCGCTTTTATCCACTAGCAGGGAGGTTTAAAGATGAACTCACCATCGATTGCAACGATCAAGGAGTTAATTATGTTACAACTAAGGTTAATTGCCATCTAATCGCGTTTCTAAACGAACCAAAACTCGAATCAATGGACCAATTTCTTCCTTGTCAACCTCCTTTTAAGGTATTAGCTGCAGGGGATTATGTGACTAACATTCAAATTAATATTTTTGAATGTGGTGGAATTGCAATTGGTTTATGTATAGCACATAAAATTCTTGATGGAGTAGGGCTAAGTACATTTCTCAAATATTGGGCTGGATTAGCCTGTAGTTCAAATGAAGTACAATTGCCTAATTTAATGGCTAATTACTTTTTTCCAGCTGAGGATTTGTGGTTAAGAGACACATCTATGACCATGTGGAGTTCAATATTCAAGAAAGGTAATTTTATTACAAGAAGATTTGTTTTTAATGCCACTGCTATAAACAACCTTAAAACTATGTCAACTAGCTCACATATAAAACATCCTACTAAAGTTGAGGTTGTTTCATCTTTTATATGGAAATGTTCAATAGCTGCATCCAAACAGAAAAATTGTTCGAATTCGCTACTAACACACATTGTGAACTTGAGAAAAAGAGCAGCACCAGCTTTGGCTGAAAACATTCTTGGAAATCTTCTTTGGCTATCAAGTGCAAAGAATACAGCAAAACATGAAATGGGGTTGCCTGATTTGGTGAATCAAGTACGAAAATCTATATCGAGGATCGATGATCATTATATCAAAAAACTACGAGGCGATGAAGGGTTTAATTTGATGAGAAAATCTCTTAAGGAAATTGGAGATTTTTGCTCAAAAGGTGCAGATCATTATGGATTTACTAGTTGGTGTAAGTTTGGATTCTATGACATTGATTTTGGATTTGGAAAACCAATATGGATTAGCAGTATAAGTTCAAGGTGTTCATTTTTCATGAATCTTATTATACTTATGGAAACTAAGTGTGTTGATGGAATTGAAGCATGGGTGACATTGGATGAGGAAGAAATGAACATGTTAGTTGGTAATCAAGAGCTCTTGGTTTTTGCTTCTATAGACCCTAGCCCTCTTACTATTTTAAGACCCTAGCCCTCTTGCTTCTATAGACCCTTAATCAGAGGTGTCGGGTTCGAGTACTGAGTTTGGGAAAATCGCTTCCTCAGAATGGGGTCCTATGCGACGCGAATCCATATATAGTCGGGCTTCAATGCGGATACCGAACACCAGGTGGGAATAGTTTTTTTTCTTTTTTAGTTCATAAGCTGTAAGTTCTTTTCTTTAATTGCCATAGAGATTCATGGCCCATTCCTCTCAACATGAAAACGTAAACGTTACAATTTCAAATACTTCATATACTAAATTCCGACAATGAACAGTGTTATAGTAGTACCGTATTAGTTTTATTTGCAGTCTTGAAATTAATGTCAAGACTCGTTTAACTCGTGTGAATGAACCTTCCCAATCATCAATAATTACTTTATTTTTCGTGCTTACATTTTTTAACTTGTGTTCTTTTCGATATTTTGGTCGAAACTCATGATTGTTAGAACTGCATATGTATGAAAACGAAGAGATTAACTTAATTTGTATGTTTTAGGTCTGCCACGTACTTTTGACTCAGCTTATGTGAACTTTACTGGTCTTAGAGCCGTGTGGCCAAGCTGCCAAAATCTGCTTATTTTGAAAAGTACTTTTTTTCAGAAGTACTTTTGAATAAAAATAGTTTGTCTTTGGTCAATTCATTTAAGAAGTATTTTTTGTAATATTTGATAAACAAATTGTGTTTGGCCAATCTTTCTAAAAAGTGCTTTTGAGTGTCAAATTCCAAAAAGGATAGTACAAAGGTCTTATAATTATTTTAAAGAGTAAAAATAACTTAAATATTTANAATTATTTTAAAGAGAAAAATAAACTTAAATATTTATCGTAAGATACTTTCATTATTTATTATTTTATTTAATTAAAATATGAAACATAAAATAAACATACATATTAAAGATTTATATCAATTTTACATATATAGTTATACCAAAACATATATTATTATCTTGTATAATTACTTATTGTTACATGATGACTTGAATAATCAAAATACATCATTCAGTGTGAATTAGAAGTCTATTCCATAAATTACTATATATTGATAACCCACCATGAAATAATAAATAAAGTCACTCACATATGATAACATTTCTCAATAATTTCATTTCTACGTCTATTGCACAACGCCTCCATATTAGTAGAAGACTTGCCTTGCATTTCTAAAGGAATACCAGAATGCCCATTTCCTTCCTCAATCTCTGCAGTAATGTCTGTATTAGTATAATAGTTGAATTCCTTATGGTTAGAAGAATATTACAACAACAACTACCCAGTCTAATCCCACCAAGTGGGGTCTGGGGAGGGTAGGATGTACACAGCCTTACCCCTACCCTGGAAGGATAGGGAGACTGTTTCCGAACGTTAGAAGAATATTGTCGGATGAAATCATGTATAGCCATGGTAGTTGTAACTAGATGATTCTTAGTGTCAAACTTGAAAGATGGCATTAAGTGTAAAATAGAAATATAATTTTAAATATATATATTTAAAAAAAATTATTTTCGCTAAAAAAAAAGTTAAGTATGTTTAATTCAAATTCAAAAAGAATAACTAATTATTAACAACACATAATGTATAATTTAGTTTTAAAAAAATTAAATAAAAAAATTAATTATTAACTAACCTAACTAACTTTGTACTAAATTGTCAAATGGTCTATTATGAGGCTGCCACTTGGCTTAATGTGGATGTTTTTTCTTCTTCTTTTAATAATAATATAGATAGATTGTACGATGCTATTATAAATTTATTACCTATTTGTAGGTAGTTTTCACAGATTAGATTTGATAATTGTTTTAAAGATTTGGGAACTAATAGCATGTAGTAGAAGAAATTATAAATAATTATTTGTAGGAAGAGAATTGATAATCCAGAGAATGATGTAGATAATTTACTTTAGTGTGAAAAAAGAAAAATATAAGTTGAAAAGTTACAAGACATTACACAAACAAAAAATCAAAAATAGGAAAAATCAACAAAGAATTTATTACAATATGATTCATGTATATGATATCTTTAATTTTTAAAAGAAGGTAAAAACCAGAAATAAATATAAAAAGAAAAAACTTAAATCAGCAAGGGATAATTTGGACAATATAAATTTATGGTAAGGATAGTTTTTTCTTGAATAAATTAATTTTCTGCTTCTGCTTCTGCTTCTTGGAAGAAGCTAGAATTTTCTGCTTCTTCCCAAAAGCAGAAAAACTGCTTCTGCTGCTGCGGCAAAAGGTACTTCTCGCGTTGGTCAAAACGCTTAAATTTTTTAAGAAAGTACTTTTTTTGACAGAAAAAAGTACTTTTGGCCTCCTAAAAGCTTGGCCAAACAGGCTCTTAATCCGATTAAAGGATGAGATTTATAATATATTAATGACTAATGTTTTATAATGAGTTTTCATCCTATAGAATATGACCTATTTTTTTTGTAATAAAAGATTATTCAATAAACGCTAAGAGTTATTAACACATGAACTCAGTCTAGGCCACATAGGCAAGACTGTCTCTTTTTAGTGCATGAAAAGTAAAGATAGGCGGTACAATCAAAAACTCGCAGTTACAAAAAGTGTCCGGCGCATCCATTTTTCGCTATAGGTCTGCTACTTCCATTAGCCTCTCTATAGATGGTGTCAGTTGTGGATCATTGCCCTCCGCAATAGGTACCTGCAGTCATCAATTAAATTTTGATAGAGACAGTTGTTAGATTTTAGGAGGTTAATAGCTCTATGCAGTCCGTCCTTATTACTAGTGGAAGGAGTTTCTTTGTAGTGCTATTTTGACTCCGTGAGGAGGGTTAAACTTCATTAATATTGGTGGCATAATTTAATCCATATTAAACCTAATCATCCATTCCCCTCTCATCTCTAAACACTCCTCTATCCCCCGTCCTCGGGTTACCCGCACAGGCTCCATCTATATGCTTGTAGAATTGATTGGAGGTTTCATTTAATAAAGGGTATCTTTAACAGGTTTTAGAAGATTATTTTTTGCAAGTAAAGGAATTCGATGGCCTGTTGATGGTTGCTTTTGTTAATGGGTGTTATATTTTTACCAAAGAGGATACCATTCCTAAAGTTCAGATAGCAACAGAGAATGGGAGAAATTGACCAACGGAGAAACTTGTCAAAAGGATTCTTTTGACAGGAGTTTCTTTTTAAGCCAGATTGAAGGAATCTTTTCCTTTGGGATTAGGTCAAAGGGATGTTTTTGAATTAATTTGATACCAGTTTGCCTAGAGTAGTGCATGGAAGAGGATGTGCTCTAATATCTCGTCTCTTTTATGCAAATATTATACAAGTATCTTGTGGCAATTCCACTCTCTTTCTTAGCAATTCTTTAGTGGGGAGTCATCCCAGAAGATTGTCCACAAGGAAGTTTCAATTTATTTAAAGAGTTTATTTTCCATATCGCCGCGTTAATCTTAGTAGTAGCCGTGATCCCGAGCAAGCTTCATATGCTGCTTGAAAAAAGCAGTTGTGATTTTTGGAATTCCAAGTGTATGTATCCCTAAAGGGGCATTTGGTTTTATGTAAGTGCAGTTTATTTTAGAGACTATGTCGGGGGAAGATCAAATGATAGATTGTGAGGTAAATTTTCATTTTTTATGAGATAGACAGTTTTTTTGTTAATTCCAGCTTGAACGGGGCCTTGGATGGATTTCCTAAGCGTTCCTGATTGATTAATCCAATTGTCTTGCCAAATATTAATGTCTTTTCTCCTATTACCATTTAGTGATGGCTTTACAAATTTCACTACCCTTCTTGATAACCTCCATGTGTGGGAGCCGTATTGGTATTTTTTCTGTGATTTGTATTTTTAGATAATTTTGGCCATAAGTTTTTTTCTTTCTCTTTTTGTATCTCCATGCTAGGCTGTATTGAAGAGGAGTTTTTCATATGGGTATTAGGATTCTAGACCCCTTGCTTCTTAGGCATTGTGCTCATACTCCATTTAACTAGATGGCATTTTTTCTTATTCTCCGTGCTACCCAGAGGAAGTACGATTGTATTGCGTCAATCTTATTTAGGAAAGTTTGGGGAGATCATAATCTGCATAACGTGGTTTGGAATTGCGGCTAGGGGTCTTTTATGAGGGTTGTCCTACCCGACTATATTGAAGGATTTAGTTTGTCCAGCCTGTTAAGTCTATTCAATTGAGTTTATCGGATATATGGAAGTCTTTTTTTGCATGGTGATTAGTGTTAGGATTAGGGAAGCTAGGTATTCCAAGTTATCAGTTTAATTCATAGAGAACCACAATGCTATGTGGCTTTTTTGCTTATAGAGATTTACTTGGAGAAACACAATTTTTTGATTTCTCAAAATTTATTGATTGGCCCGAGCATTACAGAATTGTGATAGTGTCAACTGATAGAGGGCTGTAGTTTTCTTTTGGTTGGCTTCAGCTAGGAGAATGAGATCATCCGCGAAGAAGAGATGTGAGAGTTCCGGGTCCTTTTGGGCTAATTTTTATTGGGGTCCATCGGCAGCAGTCAATCTCGTGGTCAATTAACCTGGAAAACATCTCCATGCATATGATAAAGATGTATGGTGATAGGGGGTCCCCTTGTCTGATTCCCCTAGATGGTTCAAAGAACTCCGTTCTAGATCCGTTAATCAGGATAGCATTTGAGGTAGTAGAGATACAGGACATAATGAGTTTTATAAGGTCTGGAGGGAAGTTAAGGGAGTCTAGAGAAAATCTGACGAAGGACCATTCTATTTTGTCGAATGCTTTTTCCAAATCTATTTTAATCATCATTTTTGGTTTTTTACCCTTTGGAGTTCTTGAAATGATAAAGAACTTCATTGATGATTAGAGCATTATCCGCAGCCTTTCTTCTTTTATGAAGTCTAGTTTGGGTAGGGTGGATAAGGGTGGGCAGTAGTGTTTTGATGCGGTTTATGATAAATCTTAGTGACAACTTTGTAAGTCAGTGTTACAAAGGTCTTATGGGTCTG